AACCCAGTGCCGCAGCAGGCATTCCAGTTCATGGATGCCTTCTCTTAGTGTGAATGGGTCAAATGGAGAAAGAGGGACGCTGAAATAAATGGCCACAGAAAAGAAGGGATCTAGGAATGCACTTGCAGATCTGTGAGTTAGTCTTGAGCCATGTGGGTGAGGTGGAGACACTAGGGGAGTGTCTCCAGGAAAGTTATGGCACTGTATCATGGAGGTTAGGGAGAGTTTGTGTATTAGGGGCAGGCAAAAGCAGAGATGGTGTTGGGTATTGCTGAATGTGGTTGGTCATGTTTTGGAAAACAAAAGCCTGAGTTGTTCTGAGCTGGGTCCCACTAGTCCAGTGTGAGGAAAGAAGCACTTGGACAAATGGTTCCAGTTTTGGCCCATCCCTCACTGGGCTTGGGTTCGCATAGGGAGAGGCTTTTAAAGAACAAACAAGGGATGGTGAAATCCACGGGTGTCATTCACCCCAGGGCTGCTATCATCTATTTGTATTGAATCCCCCCATGGAGAGCCCCCAAGGCACATGTTCTTTACAGGGCCTTTAACCGAACCTCCTGACACAGTAGCACCTGCAAGGTCCATAAGTCCAGGGTCAGGGATGCAGAAGAAATGGACTTGGGCAGCAATAGCTAAGGGGACCCACGTAAGGTGTGGTGACTCTAGGGAGTCATGAGGCTCTCACCTGCCTCTTGCACCCCATGTGCTGGGGAAATAACTGAGAATCGTAGTGTGGGAGCCTGTTCCAGGTAGAGGAATGGAAGTGAGAATAGATACCAGAGGGACACAGAGTCCTAGGTGGGAGTCCTGTGTGAGGTAACCTGGGTCAACTCTGGTCTGCTTTCCACCCTCTCCGGGCTAGGCATGGGCATGGGGGGCTACTGTTGGGAGATGGGTTCAATGTGAGAGACACCCTGGGCAGGTGGTGTGAGGAAAGGGTGGCTTTCCTCAGTACAGGAAGTGGTGCTGGAGCACTCTTGGTGCCAGAGCATAAGTGGGGGATTGCAATCCATTGGTGGAAACAGCACAGTGTCTGTTTGTTACATGTGTTTGTTACAAGGCGTGACCGTAGCTAGGGCAGGGCAGGGTTGAAGGTCTTGTTTCAGGGAGAGAGACTGAGCAGAGGGAAAGTGGGAGCTCAAGGAGAAGGATCTGAGTGTTTTATTAGGCGATGGATTAGGCTGTCATAGGCCAGTGGAGTGACTGAGCCTTTCAGATGTTGGGGGCAGCACAGGAGATTGAGAGGAGGTGAAGGAGATCACGTAGGCCTTTCAGATGTTGGGGGAAGCACAGGAGATTGATATGCTGGAAAGACCGAGAACTTGCACAGAGAGAAGTGTACGTAAGAGGCTGAATAGCAGGAAGAGACAAGGGTTAGTCTGCGGAAGGTCTTGGAGACTAGGAGGGAGACAGCTCTCCAGTGGATGAAATTTGCACAGACAAGGTAGTCTGCAGCTTGTGATGGTGCGTTCTGGGCAACCAGGGTAGTGACTGGTTCTATGGATAATTGCTGCCTCCCCCGTCCCTTCACACATCCATCTCAGCCCGCTGGTGGGTCAGGAGTGGTTTGAGAGAGAGGTGCAAATCCTGCCCATGCAGGCAGCAAGTGGCGTGACTGGAGATGATCTCCTCCCGCACCGCCAGCCAGGAGAGGGATGTAGCCAGGTGAGCAGCATTCAGCAGTGGCCGTGAATACACGGGGACGCTGATGTGGGGTGGATTGGGTCGGTCCCTGGTGTGTGTGGGGGGATGGGTAAGTAGCAGAGATGAAGACAGAATGCCAGACACAGTTAAGGTACCACATGCCTTTGTGAGCATCCCCAGGCTCCAGTGCCCACCAGTAAGCTTCTCCCTTTGTCACCTCTGTGCCCTTTCCTACACTGCCCATTATACCTGGAGAAAACTCCCTGAGCAAATAACTATTCCCTTGTCCTCCTTCAGATCACCCCTTATGGTTCACCTCTGCCGTCATGCCTGAGGAAGCCAGCCTGCTAGGCGGGGGACAAGCTGTGCTTTTTTCCTCTCCCCCTTCTTTCCTTCCTCTGCTCCTTTCCTCACAAACTCTAAAAATCTCACCCCCAACCCAAACAAAACCAAAACCAACCTCTTTCTCCCTCCCCCACAATCCATGTAACTAACAAAGCTGGGCCAATTCTTCACCAGGTTCATCGGCTTGCATATTCTATCTGCATCCACCACTCTCCATCTGTTTGTGTCTTTAGATGTAAACCCACCTGGCAAGGGATTGTCCCTAGCTATGTTGGATCTCAATTGGGATCTTTGGGCACAATAATCATAATTATCGTCTTCATCCATTGTTGTCTACATGGGCTTAGCACTGATTAGACTTTAAAGCCAGAGCAACTGTTGCCAATGATAATGGGGCTAAGTCAGGGCTCACATGACAAGTGAAAATAACAGTAACCCAGAGCTTCGCTAAACAGAAAACGTAAATCCTGTCCAAACCTTCTTGCCAAAACGCCAGTTCCCAGCCCCTGCTCTAACTCACTGCAGCGTCCACCCTGGTACTGAAGTTACTGCACAATAAAGAACACAGCATTATATCTCCTACAACAGGATTTGGCAGGAGCTCTTTATGGAGAAGGAGGAAAGGGAGGAGGAGGCTGGGTAAGGGGACATGGGTCACTGGATACCACTTGGGATGTCCGCTTGAATGCCATATTCTTATTCCGACTGGCATAGTTGTAACGAATTGCTGGGAGTGCAATCAGTTTCTTGGGTTTAATTCATCTATCCAGCTATGCAATCCCTATTTTCATTTCTTTCTCTCTGTCTGTCTATCTGAATGTGTACAGTATCAATTCTAAGCACTGATACTACCCTGTTTCTATTCACATTCTCTCTGCTATTGATAGTTCACAGCTTTCTCAGTCCATTCCCTTTTTGTTCGCTTGATGAAATGGAGCTTCAGTCTCTTGGAGCTCTGTTCATCACCCAACTTGTCCTCCACCCGACTACAACCTATATTTATTTAGTTCTTTGATTTTAAAACCTGTGAAGCCACCAGAAGCAAATAAAACTTGTATGTGTTTGCACATATATCTGTATGTAGTTATCTATCCATACACACACACACTGATATATATATGTATGCCCACACTCATATGTTTAGATAGATATAGATATAAAAACATACTCACATAAACCTACACACTCACACATCATCTCTCTCTCAAATGTAATCTAATCTACACAGTCTTTATAATGCTCTGAAGAAGGAATGTGGCCACAGGGAATTCTGAGCTCTGTCCACTCCTTGGTCAGTTCTCCTCTAATTTTCCTTATTTTATTTCTTTCAGAGCCATCCATAGTGTAAAAGAGAGAAACAGAAAGACCTAGACTGAAGGAGGAAGATACCGGGTATTAACTGCCTCAGACAATGAAATGATGTCTTATAGAAGGCTCCTTGCAGAAGGTACAGTCCAGCACCCACACTTGCTGCATTACCTAGCTAGAACATACCTATTTCTAGCCTGAGAGCCATCTGTAGTAAAATTTGACCCAAGCAGATCCTGGTCTATTGGTATTCTCATATACTGGATCTGGTTTCCTACCAGATTCTAAACTGTGTCAGGGGAGAAGCTAGCAGAGTTACTGAAGACCCTCAACGGGGACATACAGCAGCTTCTCCTGCCGTTCAGGGATGGGTATGTCTAGCTCTACAGAGGACATCTGAGACAGACAAGCCTGGGGGATCACCCTTTCCACCCAGGCTACTGAACTAGCATCTAAGCTGTAATGCTAGCAAGCTCTGTCTTGTTGTGATGGCATGAAATTCAAAATGACTTATTGAAATTCCAGATCCAACCTCCTTAACACATGAAAGATAATGACAAACCTACTCATTCCCTTCTCCAATTATAGCCAAAGGGCCAGATTCTGCTCTCAAAATTCAGTGGGGTTGCATCCCACAGGCTTATTCGAAGTCAACAGGTTTTGGCTCCAAAAGCAGTTTCTTAAAAACCATAAGAACATGCATCCTAAAATCAGCCTGTGATACAGACACAGAAACTACTGATCAGTTCATGCAATACATTTTCTTCCTTTAGCTGGCGATGTGTTTTAGTCTGAAAGGCTCCTGAGAAAACATCCAAAGCAAAGGCAGAGGCCACACATCTCTCCACCAAAGTTCACTGGGGATTACTCCTGAAGACCCACCATCAGTGTCAAAGACACACATACAAAACCAAAGACGTACAGACACACACAAACCTGGACACGGAGATAGACCGCAATACACATTAACCCACCCAGCCACCAGTGCGCCAACACATTGATAAATACATGCCAAGCTCCTGCAGCCAACCATGCCAAGCCACTGCAACCAACCACGCTGAACCACCGAGCCACTGCAATCAAACACCCAGAGATGCATTAAGACACCGCAGCAGACACACTGAGACTCAGAACCACTGCAACAAACTCAGAGGGGCTGCAACCAAACACTGCAACAGACATACCAAGCTACTGCAATCAAACACATTGAGACACTGCAACCAACACTCCGAGAGGCGGCTGCAGCCATGCTGAGACACCGAGACACGGCAACCAGACATTCCAAGACACCCAGACGCTGCTACAAACAGGTGGATGCTGCAACCCAAACCACCAAGAGACTGAGACGCTTCAGCAGCCGCACAGAAACACTGCACCCAAACACGCCTTAAAATCAGTACTAATACACTGAGACAGTAAAACAAGCACATGGAGAGAATAAATACATACTGAGACCTCAGTGCAAACACTCCAAGACATTGATACAAGCATACTGAGATGCACACGCACACACACACTGAGAGAGCAATACGAACACCCAGCATATCCTGCAATCAAAACTAACAAAGAGAGAGACAAATGGCTAAACACACACTGAAACACCCATATAACTCTGACTTCAGCACACTGAAACACTGATACAACCACAGCAACACACACAACTGTACCACAGATGCACACTAAAAACATGTACAGAAATGTACCTGTGCACTTCGTTCATGCTGCGTCTTTGCTAAGCGAAATAGCTCTTACGGGTGCTTCTAAACTGCTGCATCTGTGACCCGTAAATCTAGACGACGTCTTCTCTCCACTGGCTTCTGCCATCCCTGGAAAGGGACAGGTATTTATTGGGAAGAGCCCACTGTTACTCCTGGGTAAGGAATTCAGACTGGAGGGAAAGAGGAGGTTTGTCATTGGTTCCTGGGCTAACCTTTGCAGGATTGTTCTCTAGAGGATTGATTTGCCAGGGCAACTATCAGGGTGAACTTTAGAAGGGAAGCAATTTTTCAGCTGAAACAAAGAAGTAGGTTAGAAAGAAAGACAGACTGTTCATGAGAGAGAGAGAAGAACAGAGAGCAACAGAGAGAGAGAGGGTCTGAAAAAATTGGCACTAAGACAAGGAGTGAAAAAGGCAGGGGCTGAAAAGTGAAAGAGACACAGAGACAAAAGACAAAGAGGAACAAAAAGAAAGAGAGAGACCAGGAGTGGACAGGCAGAACTAGCCCCTGTTATACTGAAAGGCAAATGCTTTGGGGACTGCGTGGCTTACCCTCTATGGGCCTGATCCAAAGCCAATAGGAGCCTGTCCTTTGACTTCAGTGGCTTTGGATCAGACCGTAATTGCATTTTCTGTGGGGTGGGATGTGAGAAGGCCAGCTATGCTTCTCCGTTAGGAGCAGTTAGGAGCCACCGTCTCACGGATATGCAGAAAATCAGACTCCTCAGAGCTGCGAAGGGGCTGGGGTTCTTGGAGGACAATAGCAGTTCGGGAGTAGGACTGGAGTCTTAGCAGAATGCCTCCCACATCTCTCCAGTACACTGCAGTCCCTGTTCTGCTGTATTCTATTGACACGGCCGGGCTGTAACTTACATTCATTCAACGGGAGTCAACAGCAGCGCTAGAGGTAGGGTGGGGTGGACTGGTATCTTCTCCCCTCTCTGTACCTGTACAGCTCTCATTAGTGTCATTGGGAGTTAGCCATGTACACTGATGGAAGGGTGTATCCCACAGGAGAGCTGCCCCCAGGTCCGAATACTTTTTAGGGCATTGGGGATCTGGGTCCAGTTCTAAAGTCAGCAGCTTGATCCCCTCCCTATTGGGCTTGTAAGAGAAGCAGTACCGTCCCCAAGCATCCAGCCCTGTGTCTCAGTAGGAGCCCTTCAGTAGACAGAGTAAACAGAAAGATGGCAAAGCCATGGACCATGAAAAAAGGACCCTCGAGAGCAGAGACAAAACTAAGGCAACACACTCAAGACTGATTTTATGAAGAAATGGTTAAGAACACACATACAGTGTAGGTTCAAGCTGCTTTGAGGAGCTGCCCCTCTGTTCTAGAAATCCCATTCTGGAGATAAAGCGGAAGTTTTCCTTGCTTCACTGGCTAATGAGTATTGGCCATGTACTCAGCTGGTATAAATCGGCGTAGCTCCATGGAAGTCAATAAGCTACTCTGGTTTATGCTAGCTACAATCTATCCTATACTCACCTAGGCTGTAGGTTTCCTTGCCCCCAAACACAACACCCACATTTTTCCTGCCCCCAAACTTGCACCAGCAGCTTGGGTAGTTGAACATCCAGCCGTCCAGCTGCACTGAACAAATATAAGCTCAACGCCCCACTCCCCTGAGACCCAAGAGCATCTTAGCCATGACTTCCGTGGGTCCAGGACATGGAGCTCCAGTTGTGGAACCGGCGCTGAATCACAAAATCACATGCCCATGAGATATCTTATATGGTATATAGTGATGGTGGGGCTAATCCTGGTTATGCACATGGCAATTTTGTTGACTTCAGTGGGAGTCCACAGCTGGACCCCTTCAGGATTAGTCCGGATCTACAGGAATGACTTAGTCCCCCATCCAACGGAGGAGAATGCTGGAGTCTGGTCAACTCTCTGCCCATTGACTCCTTTGCGCCTTGATGTTACAACACACACAGTGGTCAGTCAGACAACCCATTGACGGGACACCCTTGTGCCACCCACCAGGTGAATCCATGGCAGGGTGTCAGCCTTAGGAGCTCACTCTGACCTCCAAAGGATCTCTGAATAAACTCCCTAATGCCTTCGTGGGAGCACAGCCAGGGAGCCCAAGGGAAGGCAGGGGAGGGAGCTCCAGCTCTTGGGTCATAAAAAACATTACTGAATCAAGTACTGATTGAGAATGTACTGGGTGGGATTGATCCTGTACTAGCTCCTTGGCATGGACAGGTCTTTTCCATCTCTGTCATCTGTGATTTTAGAAGCCCTTCACTAGTCATTTCTGTGAAGGGAACATTGTTCCCTACGTTTCCCCCAACCTGCAGTTGAATATCCCTAGAACATAGGTTCTCAAACCGTGGTCCACGGACCACCAGTGGTCCGTGAGCTCCATTCAGGTGGTCTGCGGATAGTTCCCTCTAAGTTGCACGCCTGGGCGGTCGCACACAAGAGAATGAAGGACCACCCACCTAATTAGTGGAGCCACACAGATCCTAAACCCCGAGCACACAGCGAAACACTGAGTGCACAAAAATTTGCACAGAAGAAATTTTTTGCGCACACGGCCTGTCAAAAATTAGAGGGAACATTGGTCTGGACCCTGGAGAAGACGCACATGTAAGATGAGGTTGTGGCCTCGAGGAAAATAGGGGGTAGGTGGGAGGGGGCAGTGGCTCCAGGGCTGTGGCTGCTGGGGAGAGACCCCCGCCCCCTCCTTCCCAGCCTCTGCTCTAGGGCTGCTGTGGCAGGGGAGAGAGGGAGAGACCCCCCTCTTTCCCAGCCCCAGCTTGGGGGCCGCCATGGCAGGGGAGAGAGGGCATATCCATTTGCAATAGAAAGGTAAGACTAGTGATATTAAAATATGAGTTGTGTGCTTTTATTTGTCGAACAAAAAAACATTTATTATTATTAAGGGTTTTTTTATATAGCGCTTTTATCCAAAGCACTTTACAATAGTTAGCTAACGGTACAAACAACATTTGGAAAGACCATTAAGTGGTCTGCTGAGACCCTCAGCAATTTTCAAGTGGTCCGCGAGAAAAAAGTTTGAGAACCACTGCCCTAGAAGTTCTCATTGTGTCAGTGACTGGACAGCTGCTGGGCACAGTCCCCATGCACTAAGGCCTTTTATCTAAGTAACAGAGGTGTCATTTCCTATGGGACATGGCGTCCAGACCCCTCTCCCTGACTGCAGGATATGACGCAATCACATATAATGTCCTATATGCTGACACAAACTCCCCCCCCCACCCCCGAATTTTTCTGAACTGACATGCCAAAGGTCTAGCTTTCAGTCCAGGTTTAGGGGGCAAGGGACAATGAGGTGAACAGTCTCAGCCTTGTCACTAGTGGTTATTTATTCATTTGCCAAAGTTTGGTGTGGCTGGTTGTCCCAGCAGTAGAATAAGGAGTGGGAGGTGCAGGTCAGGACTGAGGGGCATTGGCAGGGCTGTGTGGGGCTCAGGTCTGGAAGAGCAGGGCGGCGGCAGATCAGGACTGAGGAGCATTGGCAGGGCTGTGTGTGGGAGCCAGAACTGGAACAGCAAGGGGCTGCAGATCAGGACTGAGGGGCATTGGCAGTGCCAGCAGAAGGGATGTATGCCTGGTGCTTCTCTGCGCTATGCCTGACACAAACCAGTGTTATTTCCCTAGTTTTAATGAGCGCTAAATCCTAGCACTGTTTTTAAGGTGGATCACTGATCCTGTATACCCCTTGGATCCATTATTGGGGGGAAATGTGATAGAAAATGCAGATCTCACCAGACATAAAATATACCCAGTCAAGAGCATCTTAAATGGTGTATTCTTGTTAGAGCATGTTGCGTACATCACTAACCAGTGGTATCAGCGCGTAGTATCGCTCCAGCCCTGTGTTAATCTAGATATGCAGACTGAATAATGCAATGGAAGATGTGATCGCGCATGCACAAACCCCACACTATTGCTCCTTTTATTGTATTTATTATTACAAATCCAGTCCCTGTCAGATTGCAGAGCTATAACCATTCAGCTTTTCCCCCTGCTCTAAGAAATGTGGAGGAAACCAAATACTTTGTTTAAGAAACACTCATATAACTTTAACACGTCCACATTTTTTCCCCACCTGTAAAACAAACGGATAAATTTCAGGCTAGAACTCCGTGCACCAAATCCCAGCCAACTGTAGATTTTAATAGCTGAGTTACAAACCTATTGAAAAGAAATATTACTAAAGAAAACTCTGACAGATCTTTAGTTGTGGAGCTAAGAGAGATGTTACAATAAAGGAAAGTGTGTGTGTGTGTGGAGATACTCTTCACTGACAATGTGTTTTCTTCGTGTATTTATGTATCCCACACGTACAAACAGAGAGATGTGAACACAAAGATGGAGAAAGAGAAGAATATGAGTATCAGGGAATATTCAGAAAGGTGCAGATAATAGATCAAAAGCCTGAACACCGAGGCGAAGGAGGAAATGGGATATTTAAGACACCGGATCAGATTCTGATCTCAGTTGCACTGATGTAAATTGGAATGTTTCCGTTGATTCTGTTGAAATCGACAGGTTTACTCCATGTTCACACTTGTGTAAACAAGATCAGAATCTGGTCTCTGGGCACAAAGCAATCAGAAGAGCTGTTCATGAGTGTGGAAGGGATGAGGGGGAGAGAGAATGTGTGTTTCAGGTCTGAAATGCAGGAGGAGTTAAGTTTTCAGTACAATGCAATTAGGATTCTGTTCCAGATGACTGCGCTAGGAAGACGAGAAACTGGAGACAAAATCAAAGGGAAGCATAGTCTGCAAACCCAGGCAGTAACCTCCCCTCACCCAGCTGCTTCTATCTACCTCTCACTCCAAAATTTAAGAAACCCACTGCTCTCCCATACTCCAAGCACTAAGGCAGCACCCACCCATCTGGGTAGGGTGACCATGTTCCCATATTATTGGCACCTGCCTGCTATTAGGGGCTTTGTCTTTTGGCAACTATACACCCCCCCGAAAAAAAGTGTCCCGATTTTTCACACTTGCTATCTGATCACCCTACACCTAGGTAAAGTTTTAAGTTGTCCCCCTTTGCCAAGATATCTTAGAGTCAGAGCAAAACCAGTGAACTGAACACAGTGGAAATAAACTTTTCCTGGAGCTCTGAAGAGAAATCTGCAAGGCTGCTGTCAGGTTTTACACTAATGTTTCCTCTGATCCTATCCGGCCGCATGTTCTCTCAACAGCTTCCAGCCAAGCACTGGCTGCTCCGAGATGATGTCCATATTTCATTCCAAGTGGAGCGTTTGAGTCCCATTGCTCTACATACACATGGCCCTAGCTCAGGGGTTCTCAAACCAGGGGTTGGGACCTCTCAGGGGAGCACGAGGTTATTACATGGGGGGGGGAGGGTCACGAGCTGTCAGCCTCCACCCCAAACCCCTCTTTGCCTCCAGCATTTATAATGGTGTTAAATTATAAAAAAGTGTTTTTAATGTATAAGGGGGGGGTTGCACTCAGAGGTTTGCTATGTGAAAGGGGTCACCAGTACAAAAGTTTGAGAACCACTGTCCTAGCTAAAGGTTCCCAAGGCAGCTCTGAGCCCCGCTCCTCTGCCCCCGACTTTATTTTCACTTCCAACCCCAATGCTGTTCAGAGCCCCTGCTTAGCACACACATATTTTAGCCAAACAGCCCCATTCCACCCCCACTCCCCGAAAATCTCCCAATCTGTTTCAATGCAGCTGAAAGGGGGAGGGGTTTTTTCTGCAAATGTCTCTATTTATAGCTCGGACAGTAGGACTTTGAGAAACCCGAAAAACTCGTAGTCCCTTTAGGGAAGCTGTTACCTACTCCTCCCCGCCCTATGCACGCAGCCTTCTGCGCTGGATCTTCCCCAGGATGCGACCGCTGCAAGTCAGGGCAGCTGGAGGAAGCCAGCGAACCCCAGGTCCTACCTGAGGTTGTCAGCCTCGTCCTCTTCTCCCACTCGCCGGTGAGCTGAGGGCGAACAGAGGGCACCTGCCTCCGCTGCACTTGCCATAGCGAGCTGCTTCTGGCTTTGCTTTCCTCCGCTCGACCGCCCCCCTGCCCTGCTGAGGGGAGGAGGGGCAGGGGGAAGTGGGAGGGGGGCTCCTAGTGCACAGCCATCCTCCCTTTGCTTTACATCAGCAGGCTGCAGTGCCTCCCCCCTAACTCCGCACATGCTCGCCCGCTCTAAACCTGCCGCGCGCCCGTGGAGGGCTGCGACTGCAGAGCCGCGGCCTGCGCGACGTTCCCTGCCAAGAACAAAGCCCCTGCGCGACCAGCCAGTGGGGCTCTCCCGAGCGGGAGCTGCACCTGGCCTCCATCCCTTTTCCCTGCCGCCGCCCCGAGAGGCATTGCCGGGTCCAGCTAATGTGTAGGTGTAGAGCAGACCTCAGAAAAGACCGAGTATCTGAGCCGTGCAACGGGGCGGGGGCGGGGGAGCGACTGGAAAGATACCCTCCCTTTCAGCGCTTGGGAGCCCAGCACTCCTGTCCCTTTGCGGCAGGGGAGGGTGAGCCGGGAACCAAGCAAGCTAGGCCGTGCTTGCTCATCGCTGTGGCAACCCGCCGGGCGGGAAGGGAAGGGAAGGCTGCACAAAAGGGGAAAGTGAGCCCAGGACAAAGGCAGCCAGGAGGGGAACAAAACTGAGGGCTTGCCCTGGAATCCGACCCTCCCGCCCCTCCCCACTCCCAGCACCCTCCTTAGATTGATTTGGTAGTCCCAGGCCTGCGCAGGCTGGGGGAAGAAAGTGCAGGGGTTGGGGAGAGGGTCTCGTTAACTGAAAGCTCAGCAGTCTCTGAAACTGGGAACAGATGTCAAAAGGCTCTGTAGGGAAAGCCCCCAACCCAGCTTTTTGTGGAGGAAGAGGTATGGGGAAGGAGGTAATTTGCTTCCTGGTTTAGTAGGGGTAGGAAGCTGCTTGCCTACCCAGCCATCCTGGGCCCCGAATTAGATCTGCATGCTGGAAAATGGCTGCAGGTGAAATTCAAGCCGTCCCTGCCCCTCAGGGACTGGTTCCCAGTTCATGGAGGTGCCAAAGCAGCTGGGGGGTGTTTGTGGACACACCTGGCCAGACCATGCATGGTGCAGTGTGCAACTCCTCCTTGTCTAGGTCCAGCCAGCATCATCCGCACCAAACACCTGCCTCCTGGTCAGCAGGGCCCTTTCCTGGTGCATGAAGATTCCCTCCCCCCAGCTCTGACAGCACAGGTAGAATATTAAGGCTCCAGGGTGGAACAAATTGAAAAAAAATATACATTTCCCTACTGTAGCTGTTGACAGTTGGTATAGTGTCAATTAAGCTACACCAATGTATACTAGCTGAGGATCCAGGCTCATATTTCCAGTTTGGTTACTATTCATTTTTCAAGGCAACATGCTCATGTACTATCAGGAAACTATCTTCCACGGCCTTTAACTTAATGATCATTTAATGATAATCTGGAGAGTGTCAAAGGGAAACACAGAAATATCAAGCTATTTTTCAACCGCTTTCTCTGGTCAGCTTAAATAAATTGTCAGCCATATTTCAAGATTGTGGGCCTGGATCCTGAATGGGGGCCTTTGGGTACTACTAACACGAGGAATAATAATTAATTAGTTAATTAATTAATAGTATGGACATTGAAACGCTGTTGCTCAGAATTAAGCGTTGTGAGAGAGCTGGAAGCATTTTAATTTGGCTAATCTGAGGAGGCAGAAGACACTTTAGACACTTAAAAAGAAAAGGAGGCCTTGTGGCATTTTAGAGACTAACAAATTTATTTGAGCATAAGCTTTCGTGAGCTACAGCTCACTTGCTGTAGCTCACAAAAGCTTATGCTCAAAATAAATTTGTTAGTCTCTAAGGTGCCACAAGTCCTCCTTTTCTTTTTGTGGATACAGACTAACACGGCTGCTACTCTGAAACCTGTCATTTAGACAATTAAGATCCCAAATCCCTCTCTTGATTGCCTATGAGCTCACCCCACACACTGAGCCCAGAGCCCAGCACCAGGAATGAAAAAGCAGGAGCTTAGTTGGGTTTCCCAAAAGAAAGGACCACAGGGAGTAGCCTGCTGAGAAGAGCACTGGCCATGGCAGGTCTGGCTTTCACTACAAAAGGCTTGGGAGCAACATGGGTCCGTCAGTCATTTGGACGTTATGCAGAAAGAATGTTCGTGCTGCTGCAACAACAAAGCCTGCAGCGAAATAAATCTAGGTAGGTAAGAAGCTTTGGAGGTTAGCTGTTAATTCACAGGGCATAATGTATCTGTTAGCTGGGCACTTGTGTAAGGGGACTGTTGCCCCCTTACTAACATTCAGTGGGGGTGTTTTAGTTGCTAGCTCCCAGTACTAAAAAGGGGGAAGGGTCGATGGGGAATCAGGACCCTGAGACTGACAGCCCCCAGAAACAATGGGGAGAAGCCAATGCTCCAGGTCAGCCTTAATGACAGGGAGAGCAAGCTAATCAGGGAGTCAGGGAGGCCAGGGAGGTCCTGTCGTCCGTGTGAGCTGGAATTGCCTGGGTCAGACAGAGTGGGGCCGAGCTAAGGAGAAAGCAGGGGCCAGAGCTGAGCTGGGGAGCAGAGCCATGCCAGATCCAGAGGGACCAGAAAAGCGGCCCAGAGAGAGCAGACCCTGTCCTCGGAGCAGAGCTGCAGCCCCAAAGCCGGAGGCACAGCCCAGAGAGAGCAGACTTGCCCTGGGAGGAGAGCTGCAGCAGTCAGAGCCAGAGGGGCCAGAAAAGCAGCCCAGGAAGCCGGTCAGTGCTGGGAGCAGAGTCACAGAAGCAGCCTGCAGAGCAGACCTGTCCTGGGAGCAGAGCTGCAGCAACTAGAAGCAGAGGTGCCAGAGAAGCAGCCCAGGGAGCTGGAGGCAGAGCAGCAGCAGCAGTGCAGAGACCGAGGGGTGGAGCTGGGGCTGGAGCAGTCTGGAGCTGGGTGCGGTGAGCAGCTGGGGAGACCGAGGGGGACCCTGGGCAGCGGGCCCAGCACCGGGAGACGCCTCAGCCAAGAGGCTCTGCAGGCCAGGCTTGGATCGTAACCCCGACAGGGTGGGGGCGACACTGGAAAGAAGGGTCCTACCACTTAGAGCCTGAGAGCGTGTGGCCACCACCAGAGCAAGTGTCCAACCCACAGTATCCCTGCAGCACAGCCAGGGCCTGAGACGAAGGCCTGGGACTTACAAGGAACAGACTGTGAACGGCCATGACATTCCAGAGACACTGTTTGTGATGTTCCCTGTCACAGAGCGGGGTGATGTGTTTCATTTAACCTTTCCCATTTTTCCTTATTCTTTTTAAAATTAATTGTTGATTAAATAACTTGTATTTGCTTTGAACTTGTATGTAATGGTCAGTGGGTCAGAGAAGTGCCCAGTGCAGAGAGAGTACCCCGGAGTGAGGACACCCTAGCCCCTGTCCTAGGTGACCACAGCAGGGTTGGGGATTGAGCCCCCCCAGGAATCCTGGGCCCAGCCTTGTTGGGGTTACGAAGACTCTGCCAGACAGGAGAGTGGAAGGGGAGTCCTCAAGGGCAGGGAGGCCACTCGGTAAAGGAAGTGGGAGCGAGGACTCAGATCCTTTTGCTAGCCCACTTCACTGCGGTAGTGCAGAAGCCAGGAAAGTTCCCCACAATAGCGGGACTATTCCCCTGCTTAAACTTGGACGGGCATAACCATTGACCAGAGTTCCCCCTCCTCTGGCTAGGTTCATGTTATAACTGCAGCTAGGACTCAAACAAGGAACCTTGAGTATCACAGGCAGCGGCTCTGCCTGGGCCAAGCCAGCTGGAGCAGAGCTAAACTTGGCTCAGCTGGGAATTGCTCTTAAAGACAACCTGGAGATTGGCAGCTTCCACACCAAACTCCAGAATACTATGGCTGTTCCCAGAGGAGGCTGAAGAGATCTTGTCCCAGCTGAGAGATGTGGGGGAGCTTTTTCCTGAAGGAAATGAGCACATGGCTGGGGAAAATGAGGGCATTTCCCCTCATCCTGGGGTAAATCATCAGCTGGTGAGTCAGAAAGGTCGAGTCCTTGGTGTGAGGCCAGCATGCCGCTCCCTACGGCTAAGGGGGAAGACCCCAGGAAGACAAGAACAAGCCACTTTAGGTAAGTGGACATTTGGCCACCAAACCTGGACTCAATTAAAATTTCAGTTCTGGGTCATTTCTGGCAACTTTTTTGATGTACAAAAGTCCCCCAGCCCTTCTGGGAGGGACCCACACAAGCTACCCAACTGAGATGGCGACTCTCCATTCGCCAAGGTCTGGGAGCCATGACAAGGTCTGAGGAGCCCTCAGCAGGGAGTGGATAGGAAGATCTTGCCTCATACAAACTGGACCTTCATCTCACTCTTTGATGGGACCGCCACCAGACAGGAAGGAACACACACACTTCTGATATTGTGGAGGGTCTTATAACAAACAATTCAGCCCTACTGCAGGGCTGGGGTTAGCACTGTCACTAGGGGACCTAGCATTTACAGAACCCTAGGCTTACACTAAGGTCCTGATCCAAAGTCTATTGAAATCAATAGAATCTGGCCAATGGGGGCCTTGCTGCTCTGACCTAGAGCTGGGGACCTGGTTCTGGTCCACCTCAGGCCTTTTGCCCCATCAAAGAAGGTATCAAACACTCCATGTTGTCCTTAACATGGGATGTGAATTCCTCCAGCTCAGCCAGGTGGAGCACATGTCAACAGCACAGGCCAAGCAAGGCCACTCTTCATCTCTGCATGTGATGCTGCAGGCCTCTTCACGTCAGCAGGTGAGCCGAATGAACCCAAAGCTTTTGAGAACCGTGGAACTGGAACCAGCCTGTGGGCTTGGTGGATGTGGAGGGATGGGAGCATCAGTTCTGGTAACTCTAGGGGTAAGAAGAGAAGGAAGGGAGCACTTTGCCTTGCTGAGATTGCTGATGCAGCCCGCTTGAGCATAGAGACCTTCTACGCCAGTGCCCTCTTTTGGACTATGTGTCTAGGGTGAGGTGGTTGAATTGCCACTCCATTACACTGGGGTTATACTGGTGTAACTCTGTTGGCTTCCATTACATCATAATAAACCTGAT